TTAGATAACAAAAATGTACATTTTAAATCATTCAGGTAGTTTATCATATGGGAGGCAGTAAAGGAGAGTGAAAAGAGCACTGGGCTGGGCGTTAAAACCCTAGGTCCCAGTCCTGGTTCTCTTTGTCTTTCTTCTATGGACAAGTCAGTTAATTTCTAAGGAACACTTTTTACATCTGTAAAATGGAATAATACCACTTTTCCTGCCTACCCTGAGGTGTTCACTATATTTAAACACACTGTACATGTTTATAACTTAGAAGCTGTTATAAAGGTGATATCGTTATTATAAGCACTGGGCTAAACTGGCTCTTCACTCTACACAGATGATTCTGGAATAAATCAAGTATTGTCTCTGCCACAGCCAGATCAATTCTCAACTAAGACCTGCTTACACTTCATTTTAGGTGATCCAGAAGAAACATATCTATAAAATCTCATGAGGTACTAACTCTAAAATTTGCTGCAAGATGAACATCATGGATTTTCTGTTAAAATAGAATAATGAGCTAAATTTAATCTTCTAGGGAAATGAAGACTTTTAAAGATCAACATGTTTTTAAAGGGGTTCAGAAATTAGTGGTTGATCCCTTACCAGCACCATCAGGTCCCACCCACTTCCACTCCAAATTACATCCTTGCCCTGCAGCCTTCAGAGGAAAACCATTGCTAGGGAGAGTCACCCCTCTCATAGATGGTGGTCAGATTCTACACTGCCGAGGTCAGAGCACCTCTGCAATCATGTCACTTGTATAAATTTGAGGAAGCGCCTGCAAAGCAGATCAGCTGGATTTTCGAACATGGATTATTTTTTCTGTGATACCCTCAATTATACTTTTCAAAAATCAACCTGGATTTTCATTTTTTGTCATCATCCCTTCCCAGTCTGTTTTTGATAAGAAAGTAGTTGGACTGAAATCCTAAGAAGATCTCCTTCTTTGAAGAGGTACCACCCCCGAGCACTCTGAGGAGTAAATGACACAGCCCTGCAAGTTACTTCCTTCAGTTTCATAGTGAAGCCTCAGACCCTGGTTATGCTTTGTCCACTTTCCTTCAAATGTGATGTTATAAAATAGGCAGGGGCTGGTTGGTATCGTGTACAATGTCAACTGTCAGGGCTGTCCTTGATGCCAGCAACAGAGTATCAGAATAACACTAGTAAGGGCAGAAACAGTGACTCTCTCACTCCTAACACCTTTTGTAAAGGACAAATCTTTTCATGTCTCTAATAGGAAAAAGAAAAAAGATAAGTGCGTGTTGCACACTTTACATTACCATGACTACCGAGGGTCCATTGTTTTTTCTGTCCCCTCGGCTCCAAACCTAACAAATATACGGGTTGGATATAAGAAAAAAAATGGATATATAAAATTGAAGGCAATTCCCTCAGTTTCATAAATCTGGGTTTTCGTAAGTGCTATGAATTCATTTCACCAGAGAGCCATCAGCTATAAATGAGTTCTGACCACTCTTCCACTTGATTGTGGTTTTCCCTAGATACCTAGAACATGAAAAAACATCCCATTTCTTAAAACAATTCACTGACAAGACCGCCGTCCTTTAAACTTGCCCTTTAGATCCAGAGGCAAAGCCAGCCTCCCTTTCCCTCCTGACCCAACTTTCTCTTCTGATACGGTTTTCTGTCCTGAACAGATCAAAATCAAATAGGAGAGAAACAATCTAGTTGAAAAGAGATCTGATGTGCCTGTTGATGTCTCATTAACCTTGAGAGTGAATATAACTGGTGGCTGCCCGTCACAGTGGCGTGATGGTTTGTTAGGGCGGAAAGAAAAAGCCAGTGGGAACAATCACCTCAAAAAAAAAAATACAAAAAACATCATTTAGTAGATCATCTATCAGAAGATGGGACAGCTTTCTAACTGTCAGGACTGGCTAAATTATAGTTTTCTTAAGCCTATGATGAAACTACTACATGTTTTCTTGGGAAAGTATCTGGAGCAGTATTTATCTGTGTGTCAAAATACGTTACTTAAAGTATTGGGGAAAAAAACCACTCCAGTGTTGGAAGTCTAATCATGAGAAAAACAAACAGCTTGGGATTAATGTTATGAAGGTTCTGTGATGAGTATGGTGATAATGTGTGTGCCATTAAAAATATCACCTGCCACCCAACGTGGGAAGGTCCTAATTCCACTAAGTCCCTAGTCAGATTCTACTTATTACTAATTGCTGATTGATAACATGTCAACAAATAAAGGGAAGAAAATAATAGAGGAAAATTGGCTTGTCTCTAGGGATCAAGGGTTACCTGTAGAGGTAAAAAGAAGGAAAGCATTTCCCAGGTTCACTGGCTGACTCCCCGTGGAATAAGTAGACTAGAAATCTAACCAGCCTCCAGATCTGGACCAGAGACTCACCCAAAACCAGCACCTTCCATCCCTCCGCCCCAGGGCTGCAGCTGGGACTGGTTCCTGTCTGCCCTCCCCAGAGGAGAACCTTAAGTAAACAAGACCCATAATCCCTACCAGGACTTGGATGGAACATTCTCCCCTATTTTTGCTTTTCTCTGAAGGTCTCCACTTTCCCATCTCTAGCCCTCACTCCTCTGCTTTTCTTAGGAACTTCTTGAAAGTTATCACCATGAACCTCACTTTTTACATCAGTTTCCCACCTCGGGCTGACGGCACAACCTGTTTCTGCCACTGTCACCCTCTAACCAGCTGCTCGGTTTCGCGTGCTCTCCTCAGGGCCACACAGACTGGCTTCTGTCCTCATCTTTCTGTCTCTGCCCCTCACCCTCACGCCCAAATGCACCCAAATAAAACTAGATCAGTCGAATCCCTCATTTCCCAAAGAAGTTTTTGCATTTCGGAGGAGAGGAGCTACTGTGAAAGAGGAAACATATGCGAATTACACACATCACTTTCCACCCTAGAAGACCGAGATGGCTACCTCGCTGGGGGAAGAGGGCAGCAGGGCAGCCCCGGTTCTCGCCAGTACCGCACTTCTTGCTAGTGGGTGGGAGGCATTTTCTTCACCATCCCGCTTCACATACCTCTGCCGCCTCACAGCCCCTCCTAGCAGCCTTTCCCAAAACACTCCGGGGCCGGAGGAAAGGGAGAAAAACTGAGGACAGGAGAGAGGGGGGTCTCTGAATTCCCCCAGTATAGTATTTTGTTTTCAAGTAGCAGGACTTTCTAGAATGTCTTCTCTAGTTCGGCTCCTTCTGGCCCAGTTACCCCAAAGCCTCCCTGCCCCCAAGGCCAGTGCATCCAAAACAAGCGCACCGACCAAAGCGCCGTGGCCGCCGCCGCCCCAACTGTTGCAGCGGCTGCCGGGGTGGCGGGGGACGGCGGCGAGGGCAGGGCCGGGCCCGCACCCGGACGCTCCCCGCCCAGGAGGCTGGAGGCTGGGGTCCTCTGAGGGCGCGCAGTGCAGGGGAGTC